AATAGCTGGGATCTCGTTAAACATCACGTAGAAATGTTTTGCACTCTGTCTACGGGAAATCGCCTCTTTCAGGCTACAAGATGATTAAACTGGCACTTGGCAAAGCGGACCTCTACGTGCATGCGGGCGGTGCACGGGGGTGGGACGTGTGCGCGCCCTCGGCGATCCTGGTGGCGCGCGGTGGAGTGGTGCGCACCCTGGTGGGTGACCCTCTCCACTTTCATCACAATGACCCCAGCGACCTTGACTCCCACCAAGGCATCTTTGCAGCTGCCTCGCTTGACCTCTTTAACACTTGGGCATCCACTGTCGCCTCGCTCATTTCAAATATCCCTCCCACTGACACTTAGTTTGTAATAAGTCATTATTTTTTCCGTTCCGTGTATTCATGTTGTTTTTGGTTTTTTCGAGGCTTTTTACTTTGCGATGTTGCGGTTGCCGCATTACCAAGTGAGTGCCGGTTGTTTCTTGTTGGCTCGGGGAAAGGAGTGGGATGATATTCCCTTCCTCATTTGCTGTTATCTGCCAGAAGTTCGCTCTCCATCTCGTCTGAACCCTGAATTGCAATTTGTAGAGGGAATTAGTATTTCAGGACTAGTACAGAAGCCCAGCTTGAAGTAGTGAATGGGATGAGGAAGTCCATCCATTGATACCTGGAAGTAACTGAAGAAATTAGAAGCAGTATGGGCGGGATTAATTCCGCAGGTCCATTGTTTCGTGACGGAGTGGTGCTGATCCCTACCACTTTGCGGTGCTCCATACTCCATTGGGTTCCGTGTCTTGGCCAGCGTGGCCGTGTACTCACGTTGTTGGTCCTTCAACTCTTCTCTGAAGTTAATTTGCAGCTGTTCTTTGATTTGCGTGCCGTCTTATCCCTGGGGTTAATGTAGATTAGCATCTTCCCTTTTTACAATTATTGGCAATAGCTAGCAGAGATTTGAGTCCACATGCAATTTTTCAGTCACTTCAACTCAATTTTTGCAGAATAGGTTGGACCGATTTGGATGCTTGGAATCAGAATTTGGGTGTTTTTGAAGTCTGGCTCAGTACCATTCAGTTGCTGCATCTGATTTTTTCTCACTTACTAAGCCTTAAGCTTTCTCATTACTATTCCATAAAGTAATGCTTAAGGTTAAAAATTAAAGTGAGGAAGAGCGTATGAAGAATTTGAACATTGTCAGAAACTCGTCTTTACTGACTGGTTGCAAGAGTGGAAAATTCACAAGGATTCATTGAGGTGCCGCGACCTGACCGCTGCAAGGAATTCCAAGTTAATCTCACAAGCAACTCTGATTTTATTGTACCGATTGGATAGTTTGTTTAACAGGGTATTGGAATACGCGGGCTTTCCACTTCTTATAGATGGTCTGTCAACCATGTCCTCAACTTCCATCCTGAAATGGCTTATAGTGAGTTTGGCAAGGAGTGCTGCCTTAATCTGAGTGACGAGGAGAAATCCAGAGGTCGTTAAGTGTTTACCAAATCGGCACCTTAGAGGATCAAGTCATCGCGAGATAGTCGAGCTTACAGCGGTTCACTGCATGAAGGTTTAGATGGCAACCTCGTGAATGACTTTACGCCATCGCCGGATGACATGAAACTTCCCTTCTCAACGCTGCATTTGGGTCGATGGTACTACGAATAGTGGTAGGCGTAGAGAATGTGCTTACTGTAGAATATCGTCCAGCCTTTTTATAACAGTCGTCTAAAATCCAGCTAATTTTTGAGTGGACATGAGGTTACGAAATCTCGACAAGACGTCAAGTGTAAACGGAACTTTCTTTCCCAAGTGCATAGTAAGCATACTATCCCCTAGCCAGTTGCCATTCATTTAAGAATTCGTTGCTGCCGAAGCGGAAGAGTGTTCATGAGCAGCTGTGAGGATGATAGTCAAAAGAAGTCGGAGGTGTT